CAGAGAAACCAGAAGAATGCCTTGTAGAAATCAACATTTTATCTTTTTATTTATTTCATGAATATTTCTAGAATACAAAAAGGATGATATTTGGATGGCCCTTATTGTTCCGCAATGTATATGTGTTGATTTCCATTTTGTTGTGTTGCATAGATTTTGTATCACTTGCGATCATCAACTATCCTATTATACTAGATTTTGCGTAATATTTCGTTTTAAACCAGGCGTGTTTTAAGAATTCAAACCGATACCAAGTGAATTATGACGACGATGGCAAACCAAAATTCAAATAATGAAAACCGGTTGACTATAGGCAACCTAGTCCAAATCACTGAAACGAATTACTTAAAACACATTGGCTTAATGACCTTACGCAACAATATGGGTGAGCATTAAAAGTAGTTGGAAGAAAGCATGATAAGAATTGAATCAATGTAGGCACGTACAATGCAGAAACAACGTTGGAAAGAACGTTGCTGGGATGGACCGGTGGAGAATACTAATACTACTGCTGATCACGTTTTTGCGATGAAAGAAGTATTGGTAGTGAAGGGCTTCATTCGTAAATTATGAATGCCGAGTATCTGTAGATGTAGAGGATACAGTACGCCATATGCTTGACATCACGTGCGCAACCAAACTGCATTCCACTCTAATACACAACAATGTTTGGTTATCAAAAAAGAGCTTCAACGGGAAAACTTTTATTGTATGAAATATAAACAGAAGTAAGACGAAATACAAGAGTAAAATTGACTTGAATTTTGGACAAAGTATGCTCTTACATTGGGGATCACATGATATTCTATACGCTTCTGCTCAATCAATGTAGGGTACGTGATTAGGTCCTCATAAGTGGTTAAATAATAATTGAAACATTAAACTATCAAGCATGAATTTAACATACAACAACTTAGTAAATGCACTTTTTCAAGACGGAACCAACCCAGTTGAGTCTACCGTGAGGATTATTTATTTTAAATTGAAATCAGACACAAGCCTGTGAAATGATGGAGTCAACAGGTCGTCAAACATTTGCCCTAAAATCAATTCAATTGTTTATTCATGCAAGGCAATTCCTGAAAATTCTATAACTTCAATCAATAATTAAATCTTATTTTTAACAGCAACAAATAATAAAAAATTGAATATATTTTGGGTAAACAGTGAATGCTCAAGGGTAAGCAAAAACGTAAGAACATATATCGTGCATAAGACGTATCTTTTAGAGCATTACCATGAGATGTCTCACATTAGGCAAACTCCAGTCACTCCACGGAGCTTGAAAGACTTGTGCTTGCGTTCACGTTCAAAGTACAATCAGATGTAAATGATACAGTCTCGCTGAGTTTTCCGTACAAACAAATATGGTGTTGTTCATTGCGTAAAATTGCACCCGTCGATTAGTCTTCTTTGGTTATCATTGGATTTATATTTTAAGACAGAACATGTGGTGATTTCAGTCAGTCAGAACCAAGTTTATTGTATTTTATGCCATAATCACAGGTTGAACTCGGGAATCATGGCTATACAGATCTCATTGGTCTATTTCTTTATCAATTGGTTTATTTTCATTCTTATATAGAGAGATATAAAATGTTTTCAGGTATATTTAGCCTTCATCCATTCAGTATTGTTCTTTCAATATAATTGTCCTTTTGTTCGTTGTACGCTCCAGCAACTAAACTGTGGCTCAATCCGATCACAAGGTGAAACATTGCAACCTGCGTGATGCGAGCTTTTATAGGTTCCGTGGGCGTGGTTGTCTGCGTGAGTAGAAAGGGTAGGACAGGAATAACCACTATGATAAGATGATTCAATACGATTGATTAATGCGAAGTATTATCACATGATATTGGTACGATCGTAGACCCCGGCATAATTGTCGAAAGCATCTTTCTGCGTTTCGATACTGGCACGGAGCTCCGTGATCGAATTTGGCTGCAGATGTGTCTTTTTATTTTGAATAACTTCTACAGTTTACCTCATTAAAAAACTGCAATTTGCTCATCGTGAATAATGGAAGAGTATACCTTGTACCAATTGAATGTGTTCCACTTCTTGGAAGTCGTAGTCATTGTTCGAAGAAAGTACATTCTGTTCTTTGGTTTGTGTGGCTGTTCTATTCAGTAAACAAATCGGCATCAGGCCTGGTTGAAATGATTAAACGTTTGATGGACGCAGGTTACCTTACCACTGCAAACATTACTACAATTGTCAGCATTATAGCAGTCTTTGTTTTAAATGAATAGTGTATGAACAAAGATGGCTTGTACTCGTCGTTCATCCTACATGTATGTCGAAAGATATGTATGTAGAGGTCAGAATTATGGGTACATCCGCAGGGTGAATTACCATAAATATCTACGTATATACAGTGTTACAATTAGTTTTGTGATGCGCTTTAGTTCAACACCCAATAACTATATATAGCCAACATTTGTTCTACGCTACAGTCTATGGTGCGTGATTCATACCTTCACCCTACATTTAATCATCGTCAACTGTAAGTATTAGCATTGGGTCCGTCTGTATTTGCGTGACCTATGACAGTATAAATTAGTGAAACTTCAAGAGAGGAGTATGTGGCTCGAATTATGTGAAAAGATTACTCACTATGCAGTCAAGGTGACCAAACCGGTATATCGATGGTACCAATGTTTCCATCGTTTGTGTGCGCGCCCCTCGATTGGTTGCATTACACTTACCCGCTCTCCTTCACATTGTTGGAATTTTCACGTTTTTACTCATTACCATTCATCGTCTCCACTAAAGGGATTGCACTATTTGTCTCATACGTGCCAGATCATCTTCTGATGATTCATCAGCTTTGTGCAACTTCAATTTATCACTGTCCAGGTTGGACCGAAACTCGCAAACGTGCATGATAGCAAGCTGCTCTTAACCACACTCCTTTGGCTAAGATGCCTTTTTCCTCATTGGTCAGCTGCAACACTCCTTCCCTGTTACCAAAATGTCTGTCAGGTAATCCCTCGGCTTCAGTAATATTCCAAAATCTTTGAATGTTTCCTCCGCTTTAGGTATGGTGACATAACAACAAGCTTATTCAGCGAGCCACACCCCCAAAGGACAACTTTTATCTTCTGATATACATTTTTAGTTCTCTTAGTATGAGGGATGATGCGTAAGTAATTTATAACCACATAATTTATCAATTTATTTGAGCTATAAAATTTCATTAATTCGCTTATTTCTTGAATAAAAAGAGATAAGCTGTTTAGAATACGTGAGTTCAACTTAATAAACACTAATGAAACAGGAATAACTCGGAAAGAATAAATTTCCGTGCTGTTTTGCATAAAATATTTCACAATTCTTAGTTGTAGCCTTTGAACTACTATAAATGTTATTGCAACAGTCAAGGTCACTCAAATTTAAGCAGTGATACAAGAGAACTAAAAAATTGAAGTGTGAGACACACTTTGAAATAAATGCTGAAATGTATTTTCAAATCGAGAGTCATGTTGCACGAGTCTGATCAACACGTGTATTTCACTGATGAAAAACAAACCATTAGACTTGGGAAAACTTTATCTAAACTCTTAGTCAACAATTCCGGAGTTCTTATTGAAGCACTGCTATCTCTATAGATTTTTACACGTAGATTTGTTTTTCCTGCGCATGTGATGAAATATGCAAATGATCTTGTGCTATACCAACCCATGTCTTCTTCCCCAATCTAAGCCCCTTCCCCGACAAGTGTTCAAGTTAGGTGATTCTTCTCTGTATCCAGGCTAAGTTAAAAATACAGTAAATATGTCGAACATTTATATAGCTTTGCACGCTATTCAAATCCGACAGACCCTACAGTGAAAAAAAACTGCGGCGACCATCATTTGAAATTAGAAAGCTCGGCAGTTTCGCGCAACCTGGTCTGTTATCGCTAGCCTTCTGTATTATTCTCCCCACCTTACATTACTATTACCTAGTTATTTCCCTTGGCTTATTTACCAGGATTTCACAGTATTACGCCGCAGTCTCATTATCATGTGTCGCTTTCGTTCTGCTCCTGGTAACAAATTGCCTCGGAAAATTTGAGAGTGAAACAACTTCCCGTGCCATATTTGCGGAGAGGATTCTTACAGATCTTGACTATCCATTAGACGTAGAACTCATACGCTGTCGTTTCCATTCCTCCACATGCTCTCAATTTGGCTAAATTGCATTACGTATAAACGCTTACCGAAATTCGCATATACCCTAGCCTGCACTCACAAACAAAGAGAGGGTAAAATATGAACTGCGTCATGACCTTGGACTTTAAAACGTTGCTGTCTGTAAACATTTTTTTCTCTTTGGTGTTTGGCGTGCATAGCTGTTTTCAGTGAAGTGTAAGCTTTAGTGCTTGCGAAAGTTGTACACAATGCACAAAACAGATTTGCCCTTACTTTAGGTAAAACGGAATCACGTATGCATTTAGGGATGCCAAACAAATTAGATGATCATTAATTCCGTGGTTAATTTCACGCTTCGTGTCTCACGCGCATTCCATATTTCCTATTCTCTCAGAATTGTTCCATCTTTATGGCAGAAAAGCGGATGTTGGATAAANAAACAATGAAGTCCAGGAGAAAAGAAGTGATTTGTGAAGTTCTTCGTGCAGAAGTCTCTAATTTACAAGCGATAAAAAACAGTAGATTCTTACAAGTGATCTATGGAAATCATGAGAATAAGTGAGTTACTATTTATCAACCTTCAAACAGTATATTAGGCAAAGCAGTTTATCTTTATTCTGTTTAAAAAATACGAAGCACGTTCTGTGAACACCCTAGTAATTTCAACATTTAAAATGCAATCTTACATGTAATTATAAACGTGCGTGTACACTTACCACCTCAAATGAAATGGTCACCAGTAAATTCTGTTTGCACGTATCGTGTACCATCTTCAGTCTTCTTCTAAGGGTTATATCTGATCATGTCAAAAGTTCCATATCTTTTTTCAGCGACTATATCACTTTCATCACGGAACCTGTGTCAATGAGTCTCGCCGACATGCTGGAAGATAGAAAAGTAAGCGTTTTTCTGCGGTATGCTGATCACTTGATGGTTTTATAATCACTTTAAAACGTTTTAACTATTCCCTTTTGCAGCTACTATCGCTTTCATAATTTTCTCCTACTGATTCGTCATTTACGGGTTCTTTCAGGAATAAATTCATGGAAGCACAGTTTATGAATGAATGGAAACAATAAATGTACAAACGACAGATAGCATTAAAATATTTAGGAAGCGGAACAACTGGATTCTTGTGTAAGCTCGTGATGTTTCCACGCCAGTGAACCTAAAATGCTCATGCTTTTTGTGGCAGTGATTATACAAAGTTTTTCCCGTTAATACAATTTGCTGCATCAATGATTTTTTATTATGATTCGTCTTACGTGAATACCAACATTTGTTAATTGTAAAAATAAAAATAAACTGAGATCGTTTGCAGTTCTCGTTTTCACTGTTGTTTCTCTAATTACAATGTTTTTATTCAATTTTAGAATTATCCTTTCACCGAACTAGACGTCGTCTTTGGTGTTTATCAGGTGAGTTTTAAACCGTACTTTGTGATTAAGTGACGTCAATTTAGAGTTTTGTCCTCTTAAATAAATTATCACCTTATTGCTACATGAGCGCTCGGATAAAGAACATGGAACTAAATAACACGGTGTAAACCACACAAAATTGTTTGTCAATCGTTAGAGTACAGTTGATAGCTTGGATGCAATTACTTTTTGAAGGTTCTGAGAAGATGTGGGAAATAGAATACAATATAGAAACACTTTACGTGTACAAGTACAAGATGTTTTAGTCAGACATGGAGTTATATTCGTGGACATGACCAAAAACAATACGGGCATGGTTTGTTGAGATCCTCAGAGAAGCGATATCAGATAATCATTCGGGTATTGGTAAACAGTAAGCAGGATAAATAGCTTATACCAATCAATTCAAGAAGTGCTTGGGAGTGAAACCAGGTATTCTGAAATGAGATGGAAATACATAAGTTGGGAAACACAACACTGTGAAACAAAGTGCTATTTGAGATTTAATTGTATCAAGAGGAGTAATTCGTGACGAGCGGTCTAGAAAAATCTTTTTAAAGTTTTCGGTTAATATTTAAACACTTAAAATTTTGAACGTAGACATCTACTAAACTATCTGTTGTTTTAAGATTAAAAAACATCGGAAATGATAAGGTCGTAGTGAAGTTCAACTATTCAATGATGATAACAGGCGAGAGAAAAAATCAATGCACTTGGAAACGATCAAATGGAACTTGTGATGATCTCAAAGTCCTGCTACCTGGTATTGTGATTTCATCAGCTTTCTTTGTTAGGAAAAGTGCTGATCAAATTGGCATTTTTGCGGAACAATGTAGGAGTGAGATTAGATCTACAGCAATGGAAAGAATGAGATGAAGGAAACTGAAGGGATTGAGACAAAGGTCGAAGGCCTGAATCAAGCATGTAGGAACACATTTAAGGCTAGGGTGCTAAAAGTGATCGAGATTCGGGTTTTTATCAGGCATTTGCTCAACGTTTAAAAGTTATCACAGTCATTCATTTTATCAACCAAAACGTAAATGTGTTGCAGTGATCGATTTGGTTATATTTGATAGATTTTACTTTTACCTTAGATAATGACTGTGAAGTGAATCAATAATAGCTGTATGATGTCTCGGTTTCCTGGTCGTGGAGTTATTCTTTATAGGAGTATATGAATAAAATTATATTGCACACCTACTCATAATTGAAAGCAGGTAATAACGAGATAAGCAGGAATCTGAGAGAAGTGACAAAATCAAGTTTTTTCTGTAATCCGTTGAGATTCAGAAAAAATAAACTGAATTTATATTTGCTGTTAATTCACTTTCTTTCCTTTTTCCTAAAAAGATTCATTATGTAATATGACGTACCTGCTGTATAAGACCTTCCTTGCGTGTCGTAGGTTGATTGACGAAACGGTCATTTGGTTTGCACTTGTCTGTAGGTACTAAACCAAATACAAATTTCATAATCGTTCTTCAAAAGGTCGACTTGTTCTACAAATTCATCTGGTAGGAGCAGCATATAAGAATTTTTACAACCATCAATTATTTTAAGGTACATACATCTAATCATGGCCAGTTGTATGGAAAGTGAATTGAAAAGTAAACCGTTATCTTTTCCTTGTCGCGAAATAATCTAGTTTATTTATGGTAGTGTCACCTTAAGCAATCGTTAAGCGCTGTTCTTTTGACAACGATTAAGCGTGGAATCCCGTATTCCTGGACCGTTTCGGAGCTGTGGCTGTGCACATTTGTTGTAAATAAATGAACAAATCTGTTGTAGGTAGAGATAACATTACCCTTTAATTATGGTTTTGAATGTTCTCGAATGAAAAGTTGCTCAATTGAGCTGAAAAGCAAATCTGTTATCCATGAAATTTTCAACAGAAAAAGGTTCGTTAAAAATCATGGCAGTACCTAAATGTTACTCCTATTTTCTGAAAATTTTCATACATTCTTGTCACACACATGGATAGAGGTTTTTGACTGGTATTAATAAATAATTACACAGTTGAAACACGTTTTGACTTTCCATAGAAAATTTTATTTCTTTCATGAGAAGGACACTTAGATGTATTATCGCTTTAATTCAAAAGTTATTCCAAACCATGCTTCTAGTGAATAGCTAAAGAAATACAAATATAAAGTGGAATAGATGCTACAAAAGCATTCTAGAATCATAGATGAAATTGATTCAATGTTATCTTGAAACAACGGACAGACCTAATAATTGACAAAGATCGAAGCTACTGAAACAATAAAGCAATACAAGTAGTTTATCAAACTAAACTGCCTGTATAAATCAGCAAGACGCTGCATTAGACGTGCCCTGGAGTAAAACGCAGCAATGTTTATTACTACACGACAATATCACATTTCATACCGCCCTACAGTGTAGAGTACTTCCTCAATAAATACGAAACATTATTCCATTGGGATTACATCCTCATTCTACAAATTACATTTTTCATGTCTTGTTTCACACCTCTTACACAACAAACAGCTGACAGATGCTCTGCGGTTCTTGCACAGCACACAAGGCATGATGCACGGCAATATCAACCCGGGTTCCATTCTCATCGTCCAACAGGGTCTGTGGAAGTTGGCCGGATTGAATTTTATGGAGCGTATAGTAGACACAACCAAGGTGAGCACAACTTACAAATTCATTAGTTGTTTTAGTTGTAATTCATTTTCCCATTTGCGATTGTTATGATCAACCTGGATTAGTTGATAATGCCGCCAAGGTCGTTACACCAGTTGGTAATATGATGACAGTTCGATTCCGTTTGAATTTTCTGTTAGATAATCCGCTGCAGATACTAATTTCAGCTGTAATTCTTTAACTGTCAACAAGTGAAACTTACAAAATGTGGTATTGGTGGTTATCCTTCTGAGTTTTCATTTGTGTTTTCTTTCAAAAAATAATTCAGCGCCAGTGTATAGCAGACGTGCTTATTCAACCAAAGTAGAACTTTAAGTGAGCACTCTAGACATCTTATCAATTTATGAGCGTGGGTTATATTTTTTCAGTGAAAGATGCAATTCCAGAAAAGAATAAGTCAAATTGCAATCAAGTGAATATTGAAAATGAATGAATAATGAAAATATCATCAACATCCTGATCTTATCCAAACTACTGAGATGAGAACGAAACCTACATGAACTCGTAGTAAAATGCTTGGTGTGCGATAAACGTCAGATATTAACAATCTAGCAAGCACAATTTGTAGTGGAACCAATATTTAGAGCATCAAACTGAATGCATTTTTCAGAGCCTAGCCTAATCTTTTTGAACTCATTCTTTCAGCTGTGTTTGTGGCGTAACGTGCAGCAGGCGAACGACTAAGACATGTCTAAATGAGGTTAACACCACTCTACACACTGACCAATCACTAATCAGCAGAAAAGAATCTCAAATGAAATGCGTTATTCTCACAGCCAGCATTCACAGGCAGTCAAGTTTATCTAACGGCTACCATTCAAACCAGTTGGCTTATTATATTATCCCTTTCGGTCTATTGCGGAGGTAATCAGCGTTATTCGATCACACCTAACCTACATGATTAAAAAAAACTATCTCAGAACACAACTAAAATGATCGCAAATCAGTAACAATTCATCAAGAAACAATTGTGTAGAGATATCACTATAGGCGTGCGAAAAATGACTGTGAGGCTTCATTTGTATTCTCATCTCCAGCCAAAGATGATTACCCTGATCCCGTTGGCAAGCTATCCCTTAAAGAAATCCATTCATCTCGAGATATCAGTAGATTTATTACCAAAACCAATTTCAAGGAGCATTTTAGTCGTCATTTGTTCATCACTATCTGTATTGTTAATTTTACAAAACGATTTGGGGTGTGATATTTACCATATTGACTTCGCTTGCCCAGTGAAAGATTCCTGGTAGACAACTATGACATTGTCCTGCATGAAACCACGCTTCTCCTCGCGAGTTCGATTACTTTTCATTAGTTCAAGTTTTTGGTTATCAAGTGCAAAGGACAGGTGCTCGTGATCATGGGTTTTATCCCTTCTATTACTAAGCACGTATCAGCAGACATATCAATGAAATGTCAAGTCAATTCCTGGGGAACCCTGAAAACATCAATCACTACAAAATATTGAAAAATGTAAAAGATCCGTGAATGAAAAGAACCACAACTAACTTTTTCAATCAGGCCGTGTCCCTATAACGGAATGCATTTCATGAGTGTTGCAATATTTATTTTTAAACGTGGGAAATAAAGTATTCCAGCGCTTTAAGATCACAGCTGAAAATACTCCCCGTGTATATTTGGTGTTTTCAGGTTTCTCCGAAGTTTACTGGGTGTTCAGCCAAACTACCCAGGGCAGCACAACCCAATCTTGACTTTGTTGCCCCAGAGGCCCAGTTGCACAACTCCATGTCTCCATTGGCCGATATGTTCTCCGTCGGGATGGTGTTGTGTGCCATTCACAACGAAGGGCATTCGCTTATCGAATCAGAGCAGAATCCCACAGTTTATGTAAGAAAGTTGACTGAAGTAAGTCTCATAGAGAAAACGTACGGCAGCCAAAAGTCGGGTTTAGGTATCCCGATGGTGAATTTTTGTCAGGTTTCTATTCTTCTTGAACGTGCACATACTAACATTTGTCACTTGAAACTGTTTAAGGTTTTGCGAATTTAAAATACATACTAATTTTATTTTGTTGCATCCATGCTGTTTGGTATTCGAATGTGCTCATTCTAAGCGATTTATAGGGATGGATTCGATGTTACTCTGTAACTTTGGTATTATTATTAGAAGTGGAGAATACAATTATCACATCCGAAACGGAAGTTGGTTGAGTGGTTTTCCTCACAAACACACACCTATCAGATAAGCCATTTATTCTGCCCAATGGTAATAGTATCACTTTCGAGAACGTGTTACAGGTCGTGCTTCACAGAAACCGGTAGTTGTGTGATGCGTGTAGAACCAAGCCGGAAACTTCATAACCAAAATTGATAGTTTATCATTCTGTCACATGGTTTACAGTCTGAATACGTGTTTACTGAAAGTTATTTTCGGAGCACCGCAAAGTTGAATCTCATTCTGTTGTATCGAAACGCAATAGTGTTTGCATGTACTAGAATCAAATTTTGGAAAATCATAATTTATTCAGACCACTCTCTTGTTAAAACACCTATGATCGAACTGATGACGGCGAAAATTTCTTTTGCAGGATCAGATTAGTGGGAAAGGAAAATCATAACGAAGCCTCCATACCATCCTTCCCAAATGAAGAATATGAAATGCACGTAGACGTCAAAAATATCAATGTTGCTGGTTGTTTATAGTATCTTCTTAAACATGAAGTCTTCGCAAATCTGTTGGTTAAATAAACTGTACACCTTCGGGTGTAGGGTGAATGGTAGTTTCGCAAAATTATTGAGATTCATCTCCTGCTCAAAATGTATTGTGATAGAACCATCTCAGGGAATAGGCTCAATAATCATTTTTTCGACGTTGTAGCTGAGACCATGCAGAGCGTTTGGAAGAGTGTTGTAAATGTGAAGACTCAATTTACTTTTCTGCTTAGGTCCAGCAATTTCATCAACTGATTGCCGATATAAGTGCCCCGGGTGTTGCCACTGTAAAAGTGTTGGACAAACTGCCTTTTGGAGTACTGATAAAATCAGATTTAATCATCTTCCGTTCGAACAGTTCACTCAAAGTAGTTAAATATTCATTATCTTTAACTCTGCTTAAGTTGAGTTATTAAAGAGATGTAAGTTGACCAGGAAATTCGCTTATGATTTCGAGTGTATTACTGTTTAAATCAATGTTATTATTCATATCGAAAGTTGAATAAAGTTTACCAGTGAAGCCACTATGAACGAGAAACCCTGAAAATCAACATTGAATCTGCTTTAATTAGCTTCAAGCGGTTCCAAGTGCCTCAGGTTTGTTAAACGCTTAGAGGATTCGTCCAACGCTAGCCACATTAGACTTGCTTCACTGAACAAAGGATGACACCCGGTTTGTCTACTCTCCCCACTCCTTCAGGCCATGCACCGTGAGACTGTTTCGTTCAAATAATGCTAAGATGACAGAACTCACTCTAAGTTGGCTGATGCCATCGTTCGACGTTATTCTTTTAAATAACCGGCTATAAAGTCATACTCAAAAACCGCTTTCATGGATGAAACTTTTAATAGCAATACATAGGACAATCTAATACTTATACAATTATCTGTGTGTCATACTCCGATTCCTTCTGCAGGTTTTATAAGTGATTAGGCTGGAATTCGAAAGGATGTTTACTCTGCATGATCTGAGGTAGGTTGGTGACAAACATGAAGTCACATGAGTTCGATTTCCTTTTGTGTTCTGTCCTGATTCGCATCCGCGATAGGGTTAAACGGAGAATAAATGATTTAAAGAAAATACTTTCCAATAAAAAGCTGTTTCCTTTTTTGTTGTGTATAAAATAAAATTTCGTCATATCGCCTGTGGCAATAACATAGAGAACTAATCATACAATAAAGTTAGGTGAAGGTATTCGACTGTTATTACCCGTAGAAAAGTGAAACCGCCGCCGGAATACTTTCGGAAAATACCTGCTGGGTACAAGCGCAAGTTTATTCCCAGCTTAGATGCTCCCGCTCTGCTATTAAATACAGGAAAATGATGCCCTGCGTCAGGAAGAAAAACAAATGCATCTTTCACTTGTGGAAGTGATTCATTTTTTTGCATGGCACAATTAAGGCTCGCTCGTCAGTGGAGAAATGCACCGCCGCATTTGTCGTGAGAATATGGCTGAATAGGTGAACTCCAAATTGTTGCCTCTTCTAAGAACAGGTCTGAATGGCGAATCAGTGCTAGAACTATGTTGAGTGTCTATCAAGTGGACAATGGATGTTGTTATGAACCTAACGGACAATTGCGAATACGATCAATGGGGTTGTCCGCAGCACTGGCTGAGAAATGTGAATCGTATGCTGAGATAGCGTCCAGTTGGAGAGCAACAAACAGTTGCCCTTATGAAAAAAATGGTGCACTTATTTTGTATCCTCTCGGAACTCAACCAGTTGTAAAATAGCTCGTTAGCATAACTCAGTACTTTGGCATTCTGCAAGAGCAAAACTCCTACATTTGAATGATGATATTATCAGTGAGGAATGAAATCGGAACTGAAAAGAAAAGCAGAACAGAAAAGCACACAAAGATATAGGTAGTTAGGCTTTTCGTTTATTGAATCGAAAATATACATAAAGCGAATGTCTACTCCTACCACTGTGATAGTAACAAGCAAGGAGTGTAACTAGAGTTTACACTATCTGCTGTTCATTACCAAATGCAATGTGCAATGGGAAATAAAACATGGACAAAGAAAACAACGAGATGTGCAGACAATTCCAATTCTCTCACACTCCGGGTAAGTTGGAGGAATCGAATAGTTATATAAAAACTACAAAGAATTAAAAATAATTCCATTCAGATAAAGTAGTCATAAATGATGTTATTCAGTGGAGTGTACATTTGATATTTCACTCAAGGACAGAGATATGTTGAAAAGAAAAACAGGTGGGGTAATACTGGAATTGACAGTGAAATTCGGGCCACAAAACTTGGCCGTCTTTCTCTTTATCTCTGTATGCGATAATCATAAAAATAGATGAATAGATCATATTTTATTGCTTTTTACTACTGCTTGATTAACAGTTGAAAAATATGTATTCAGCTTTCGCATATAAATTTGAAAGAATGGTTCCGGAATGCTAAACAATAAACATCTCCATGCATCAAACTTGAGATAAGCTCACTTGATCCGTTACACGTTTTTCTCCTTTGAATCTCCCACATGGATTGCGCAAAACCAAGTAAAAAAAACACGCCGAGGAAATCCATCCTAATCTCGGAATAAGCCTAGCTGGTGACATGTTTGCTGTAAATGAGACATGAATTGTTTTGCTTGCAATCCAACCAAAACTAATCAACGGAGCTGATGCAAATTATCTTTGTTTTTGCCGGAATGCAGATTAACTAACTCTTTCGTCAATTTGTGATTTTTAACATTCAGATGCCGATGAAATTTGATAAAATCAGTGAACGCCTCCCAAAAGCTTTGGTGGAACCCGTGCGCAAAATGATCAGCCAAGATGTTCGTGATCGCCCAACTTCACAATTGTTCGCACTAGTAAGTCAAAAACGTCGCTGTGCATTCTGATACCAGGTGCGTTGAGAAATCTTGTAGTTTTATCCCCATGAGTGGTATGGTTTTTGGCAGACTTTTGCGATAAATGGCCGTGTTCAGTGTATTGAGATTTATTGATCGAATGAAAAATGTTAAGAGTAATGATAATAACAATGTATGCCTCAAGCACAAAACACACCTCGATGAAGTATACCATTTGTAACAACGGTCAGTTTACCTCATTCTTTTATTCGCAAGTATTCCTTTATTATTAATACTTTTCTCCAATGTATATAACTTTCATTTACTTTGTTGATTATGATACGTTTGCCTTGTTTTAGAGATCTATTACGCAAGTATCTATATCCAAGTACAAGTATTGATCAACTTCATTAGCGTCGACTTTCTTTGCAATGTTGAAAATTCCCTTGAACCATCTTTTGAGGTAACGCAACCTAAATTATCAGAATAACGTTGGTAGCAGCTGACAACTTCTACCTCGAAAGTAGTAGCAAAGTTATGGAATGGAATGAAAAGAGTTATTCCGTCCAGATATTTATGTAAAGCCATATTAAAATGTTTTTTATTCAACCATAGTCTTATAATCTCCAAACGTTTTGTATATAATACAACTAAAAAATAGAACAAGGAGTGGCGAACAAGCTCGTTTTCAGTGATTCGTAGTCATGCCAAATACATCACAATAAATATTACGCTGTTTATATATAAATCGGTATTCAATCATAAAAAACGTAAACAAATGTTTCGGGAAAGGGAAAATAACCTCGTGGGTTATCTGGGGCTACGTTCATCTTGGGACCGGATATGGAATTCTCAATGATCGCATGATTGTTAGGTCATCCGATCGTTGGGACCACTCGGAATACGGGGTGTATAGGGGGTGGGCCAGGGGAGCNGACGGAATGCCTCGGTCACATTCACAGTGTGATTTGTTTCAACTAGGTGTAAAACCACTGCACTAGTGAGTGACTTATTCGTTCCTGTGTTCCTGTGTGGTGTTCACGGATTTG